AAAAACTGCCTATAATAACATTTCCAAAAAATGTATACTATGTTTACAAGAAAAATTTGAAATTATTACTCATTTAGATCAAGAAAATTTACTGAATAATAAATTGAATTAATTTCTAAATTCAGACATGAAAATAAGTTCCTTTTAAAAAATTATAAAAATAAATGACCAGTCTAAAATTATCCTATTTCTAAAGAATTCTTTGATTTTTTAATTATCTGATGTAGTTGATGCAACTTCCTGGTTGCAAAATAACTACAGTTATCACATAATTAATTATAACAATTCCCAACTTCCTGTGTAATAATTTTTTCTATAATTTGAATTTTTTGATGTTTAGACATCCTTCCTGATGAACCTACTGATGGTGAAACATGCTGTTGAAGAGCAAAAAAATAAGATAAGTGTTTTTACTAATTTATATATATATATATATATATATATATATATATATATATATATATATATATATATATATATATATATATATATATATATATATATATATATATATATATATATATATATATATATATATATATATAACGGCAAAAAATTGCCGACCTCGTTTTTATGTTTTATGGTCAGACCTTTGTATCAAATAATTTTTGCCGACCTAAAGAAGATTGAGGTCCGCAATAATTTGCTGATATAATTTTTCCTAATTCATATATATATATATATATATATATATATATATATATATATATATATATATATATATATATATATATATATATATATATATATATATATATATATATATATATATATATATATATATATATATATATATCAGGGGCTATTCTAGACTGTTTTCGACAGCGTTGACTGTATTTGGGCGCCGCTTAAATTAAAATTTTAGGACCTTTTTTTTTTTGTATGCTTTTGACTGCAAATATATATTTATTTTTTTTCTGAAAAAACTCCCATTTTTCAATAAATTTCTAATGGAGGGGTACTACCGCCCAAATTTTTTCCTAGAATAGGCCCAGTATATATATATATATATATATATACATATATATATATATATATATATATATATATATATATATATATATATATTATATATATATATATATATATATATATATATATATATAAAATTTTATATTATTAATTCTACTACTTAAAATATATTTGAGTATATATTATATTTATATTTGTTAAAACTTTTATCTAACAACTATTGCATATTAATAAAAATATTAATTTTTCTGCTTTAACAACCTTGAACTCATTAATTCGATTTGTTGAAGAATGTATTATACATGACATAAACTATATTTATTAGGTTTTTTTTAGCTTAACTCATTTAAATTTATTTCATTTTACCGATGATGAAAATCATTTTTTCATAAATTATTGAAGTTCTTATTTTATTACTAGTTTAATAAAAAAAAAATTATTAAAAAAAAACTATCAACAAAAAAATTTATTTACTATTTTAACAATAATATAATAATATATAATAAAAATTATGTATGTAACTATTAACATTTTTTCTTTTATCTGCACTTAGTCAATTTGTTTTATTTTTTTCTAAATCTTTATATTTATTTTCTCATCAGGTTTGCTAAAAATTACAAATAAATAAATGAATGATTTATAGATAAATTAAAAAGTTGGCTGGTCGAATTGACAATTTGACCTTATTTTCCACGCTGAACTGCATTGGAGACTAGACATTTGCGCGACAATCTCATACAAAAATAATTATTATTGAAAAATAAAGAGTACATCACATGGCTCAAACCACAACATTTTGCATCTTCATTATAAGCAAACAGAGCAGCATCAGCAATAAGAGGACATAATCTAAGAATCAAAAAAGTCAATGTCAAACAATCTTTATATTAAAAAGCCTTCTTCAGTAACCGTATTGCAAATGAATGGTACGCATTACCAATCTACATGGTGAATGCCTCTTTGAACTCTTTTTAACCAAGAATCAATAGTTTTTTATTATAAACTTTGAGAAATTTATTTAATTTTGCCTTTTTTTTTTAATATTTTGGATTTTTAAATAATTTGTAAATTATTATAAATAAAATGTAGTATAGGCTGTTATAATGCATAAAAAGTAGGCTTTCTTCCACTTCCAGGTTTACATATCAATCGTTTATTTTGAATTGTAGCTTCAGAGAAGCTTCTATCTTGAAATGGTTTGAAACGACATGCTTTCCATCTTCATGCTTTTTTAAATAAAAGTCGTACACACCACTTTTTAGGGCTTGTTGATTTAGCATTTTAAATTGTTATTTAAACAAAAAAATAATCAGACAATTTATATACTACTTGACAGAGGAAAGATTAATTACCAAATACGAATTATTTTGTTAAACTTATTAATTATGGCTAATTAAACCTAGTCTCAAATTTGATGGAACAGGTCTAATGCCTGAAATAGAATATCCAAGCAAAAAAAATCATAAATTTTATAAAAAATTATATTGTAAAAAAATATCAAAATGAAACTTACCGTGACTTACCATAATTTCCTCAGAAAAACGATCACCAAAAATAATGTGGTGGCTTGTCAAACATAATGTGCCAGTAATTTGTTGTACACCATGTCTCAATAAAACAACATTATCCACCTTTGATGTCTTAATTAATTCTGTAAATTCCATTTAAATTTGTTTTGTTATAACTAAATAGAGAACTTTGGGCAGTTAAAAACTCTGTACATTAAAAAAAAAGCACTATTACAAGGCTCAAACTAAGTGATTGCGAATTGCAATATACAGAAATATTTCTGGTCATTAAATTCTTAGTTTATTAAAAACCGTGAACACTGTTTTAATGAACGGTCAATTTATCATACTGCAAAAATTAATAAAGAAACAAAACAATAAATTTATTACAGCAAAAAAAAAAAAAAAACATATTTCTATGGTGTTTTAAAAGACCAGGTAATTTAAGAATTAAATAAAACATAAATTAAATAAAACAAAAGTTATAAGAAAAAAAGTTATAAGATATAATTATAACTAAAGGTCTGAAAAATTTGCACAGTAATTTAAAAATCAGCCTATAAAAAATTATGCTAAAGCTATTTGCGCATTGTATAAAATAATAATATCAATTTTTGTTTAGCAAGAAAGTTTAAGGAATTATTAATTTAAAAATATAAATGTTTTAAATTAGAAATTAATTGATAATAAAAACAACAGTAAAAAAGATTAAATTTAAAATCAGATTCATTATCAAAAACATTGAAATTTTTTAACAAAATCAATCTTTTTGTAACAAAACCAACCTTGTAGAAATTACACAAAATGACAACATTTTGTGTCATTACTACAAGGTTGGTTTCTGATATTATATAATATGTTCTAGGTATATATAAAACAATAGCTATAATATCCATATTCAATATATTAAAATTACATTACTAAGATGAAATTTGTTATATTAAAATTACATTACTAAGATGAAATTTGTTATGTATTTAACACTTTGTTTATAGCATACCATATTAAATAAAATAAAATTTTCAGCATTTCAAAACTGATGAATAAATGATTGTCTTACTTTAAACTCAATTTAAATCCATAAACTGAATATAAATAAATATAAATTTGTTTTGCTTTAGAGCATCAAATATGTTAAACAGTAGGAACCATTAAGTCAAAAAATGAAAAACATTAAACTTTTAAATCAATCAAAAAATTCTTATCTACAAACTAGATGAGATAAATTTTGATTGAGTTGATTTTCAGGGTTTTAAAAAAGTTAAAATTGACATTTGTTCAAGCAAATAATGATTTTACAGAAATTATGGTTGAACCTGGTAAAAATGATATTTAATTGTAACTAACTAGGGCTATCATAATTTTTGGTAAACAAACATTGTTTTTATAAAAACATTGTGTTTTTATAATAATAATAATAATAACAAAGTAATAACAAAATAACAACAATAACAACAATTTTAAGCAAAAATAATAATTAATTTATTATGACAATAATTTTAATATTTATAAAAAAACTATATAGGTTTTTAATAATATATAAAAAAATACTTTTGGAATTTGGAAAATGGAAACTGATAATCTTGCTTCATGGCTTTAAGGGGAAATCACTAAAAGTTTAGGAGAAGGACAACGGCTTTTATAATATTTAAATGATTAAATTTTTAAAAAAATCTCAGAAATTGACAGAAAACTTATTTGTTTGTTGTCTGTACAATTCCACTATTATTATTTACATTTATTATACACTAAAGAGTAAATATTTTAAAAATAATTACTACTTGGGTTTGTCACTAAAAATTAATTTTTCCAGACCCAAGGAGTGAATGTTGTTGCCAAAGACTATATTCTCCTTGACATCCAAAAGAATACTGCATGCAATATTGAATATTGCATGGTCAATCAATCAATTGGTAGCCAGTACCTTTCAAAGGACTAAAAAAATATTTTAACAAATTAATATATATATATAAACAAAAAACTATATTTGTATCAAAATTTTGCACTTTAATTTTTAAACAACCTATAAGTATGCAAGATACCAAGTTTAATTCTAACAAGGGAAAGGCAGGGTTTGAATTGACACTAATTATGCATAAGGTAAACACCATATTATTGAGATACAAACCATGTGTTAATAGACAGTAACAATAATTTAATAGAAAAATAAAAAACCCATTGATACAAATGATCATAATTAGTAAGTACTATATTACTTCAATGGTTTATTATAAAAATATGGTATACAGGTTTATAATTAACTTACAGCTAGGAAAAGTTTTTTTTTTTATATGACTTTTAACTCAGATGATATTTATAAAATGCTACATGAATCAATACACCAAATAAACAATAAAAACAAATTTAAAACTCTATAAAATCTCAGACTACTGAGAGCTATAAAAAAAAAAAGAAAGCTGTGAAAACTATATATAACAATCTTTAAATCATTAACAATTTATAAACTGATGAACTGTAGACAACAGATGAAACTTTTTATAAACTTGCAGATGAATAAGCACAATAGCTTCGAACAGGATTGAAAATATATGGACGAAAAACAGTATCAACTTTTCCTTCATTCACTTGGCCACTCTTTCTATAATAAATATTATTACTTATACATTTTATGTTTATTTTTGCATTTTTACAGTTTTTTATTTTTTATATTTAAGTTTAATTTATTTATATATATTATTTAACTTTGAGATAAAAAATGGAAAGAAAAAAAAAAAAGGTAATAAAACCTCTAATACTAGTAAGAAAAACAAAATAATAAGTAAACAAAAAAACAAAAAACAAACTTGTTTTTAACTTGATATGAATAATTTTCCCATGAGAGTTTATTATTCTTTTGTTTCTTAGTATTTTCTAGTATCAGACGCTTAAAAAAAAATTAATATAAATTTATATCATATCAATATAAAGAACATTACGCAATATAAATTTATACTTCATCATATTGTATTGCATCAATATTATAAATTTATACTTCATCATATTGTATTGCATCAATATTATAAATTTATACTTCATCATATTGTATTGCATCAATATTATAAATTTATACTTCATCATATTGTATTGCATCAATATTATAAATTTATACTTCATCATATTGTATTGCATCAATATTATAAATTTATACTTTATCATATTGTATTGCATCAATATTATAAACTTAACAGCAATCTTCACTTGTTAATAGTTTACATAATTTATTATAGTTTTTGAGGTGAGATCATTATACCTATTTTTTACATCATTCTTTTTTTAAGTTTACCACTAAATAATGCAAAAAAAAAAAAATGTTTCACTAACCTATGGTGCATAAGTTTTCATGTTTTAATTACAATGAGCATGTGATATTAAAAAAAAAAATTGTTTTTTTAACCTCTAACTTCTATGCTATTTGATAAATCTATGTATTTAATGTCTGCAAAGTGTCAAAACAAAAAATACAATAATAATTACATAAATATTTAAAGAAAATAGTATTTCAACCTAGCAATAAACATCAATAAAAAAATAACCTAAATCAGCAGCAAAAACAAAAATTACAAAACCATTGAAAATAAAAAAAATATTTACAATACACCAGAACGCCAGTAGTGACAATTAACACTGTGCTTTTGTGCTTAACTTTTTATTATTTTAAAAAAAGGCTATTTATTAACCAGTATATATTTTCTGAAAAGAATTGTTATGATAGATAATAGTTTTGGGCCATTTATAAATAAATCTGAAGTAAACACCTGATATTAATGACATCAGTATAAAATAGATAAATGATAATAATAACAAATAATAACTATACTTCATTTTTTTTTTTTTTTTACATAACTTTGTTAAATTATATTGAGTTAAGAAAAGTCATAAAACAATTATACATTTACAATAAATTATACATATACAATAAATATACATTTACAACAAATATACATTTACAACAAATCCACATTTACAATTATACATTTACAATTATACATTTGCAGTCATCTGCAGGGGAACTAGACAACTATCAGTTGCAAGCAAGTATTTATTTTACATAATCTACAAAAATCTTTACAATGATAACTAGAAAAAACCTTGGGAATTCTTTAATTTTCACTGTACATACAACCTTGTAAATGTTTGTGTACAAAAATGTTTGTGTATGAAAAAAGTGCTTTACTTATATAAATAGAAAAAAAAAAATTAAATGGATTAAAATTAAATGGATTAAAATGATCTTTTCCACTACAACAAATGAAAGTAATGATACACATGATATTGGAATAAAAATGCTACCATTAATTGTAGGATTTAAGTAACCTGAAAATCTGTAGTATCTAGTCACCCCTAAAATTGTAGGATTTAGTCACCTAAGAGTTTGTAGGATTTAGTCACCCAAAAAGTGTGACTAGACATATAACTTTACTTAATGCATTTCTTTTTTTTTTAGAAATTAAAAAAAAATAAATATCTAAATTTAAATCATGATCATTTTTTAAATTGGCCATCAAGTTTATGTAAATATTGAATTTGACAGGTAGTTGGTAATGACATGATTACAAAAATTTACCTCCGACAAACGGCTAACGACAATTAAATGAAACATGTAAAAATTAAATTTTATAATTTGTTTTTTTATTAATATAAATAAAATAAACTATATTAGTTATCAATAGAATCTATAAATAAGATTATGAAAATATATTTGCTAACTCTTTAATAATTTTATGTAAAATAATATTTATCTTTATATAAAGCATGAAAATCAGTTTAATAGTTTTTAAACTTTAACAACTAGCGATTCTTTTGCAAATTTTCTTTTGCATAATTTTTTTATTTTATTGAAATACTTAATGGAAGAAAATTCTTTCACATATTATTAAGCTAAGATTAATATTAATATTAATAAAAAAAAAATAAGGACTGTAATCATAACACTTTTAAAAAATTTTATCAAAACTAATTTACCATGAAAAAATGCTGTTCTTGTGTCTCAAGAACAGTATTTCGTTTCCTCTTCCCATCA